AGCAGGAATCTTTTGCCCAAGGAGGGCTGTCCTTAAGGCATCCTGGGCCCAATGTTGAAAGGTAGGGGGATGCACATCAAAGCTTAGTTTAAGCAGAGTAACCTTTGATTCACATCTAGGCCTGGGGTTGGAACAAAGACTCTCTCCAACGTGATCTAGGTACTTTCAAGTTCAAAATGGCCCCAGGGATTGGAGGGGACGTTTTCGGATGACATCACAGAGTGCTGGTCATTCCACACTGTGTGGAATTTTGGCTTCTTCTGCAGAGCTGCAGAACTCCCGTTGTCAGAGCTTGACCCTCGCGAGAAATAGGCACGTATGGCTTGAACTCCGTGAAAGTGATTTCAAGGTAGGGGGCTTGAGAAACTTGATTTCCTCGTGTTATGATGCAAACCGACTTGACCTGCACTTCCAGGAACTTGCACTCGGATAGGAATGTACTTATCCTTTGGATTCTGCCCTTCTCTGAATATTGCAGTTCAGTTCTCAGCTCAAGCAATGCCTGTGAATGCATTAAAATGCGTAGTTCGGGATAAAAATATGTTTAAAAAGACATGTATTGGGAATAAATATGTATCAACATACAATTTTGATTACATCTTTAAAAATGCATTTTTGTGGAGATTTTAAATTTGAGATTAAAGTGGGAATTGATTGGAGCAGACTTTTGAAGAAACACACTTGAAGCAGACACAGACTTGAAGCAGGCTGATCAACCTATCCTTATTGCAGAGGGGTCTCTGGGGCAACTTCATTCTCACATGCTCCCCTAAACCAGTGTTTCCCAACCACTGTTCCGCGGCACACTAGTGTGCCGCGAGATGTTGCCTGGTGTGCCGCGGGAAAAATTAAAAAATTGAAAGATTTTTTTTTTAAAGTCAAATTTTCGATTGGGGCGCCGTCACTAGATGACCCCTGGGGTTCCCTCCCTCCCTCCCGCTCTGCGCCTCCCTCCTCCTCCTCCTCCTCCGGGGAGGCCCTTCCTGGCTCTCGGCCAAGGCTTGGCGGCTGCCACTCACTCACTCGCTCGCCCACCCGTCCCTCCATCCCTGCACCCGGCCTCTCCCCCTCCGTCCCCGGCGCGGGGGCTGCCGGGATCCGTAGTCCCCTCGCCCTTGGGCTCCGCGCCCGCGCGGGGTGCGCGAACTACGTTTCCCAGCGTGGCCTGGCGGGCCGGGCGTTTTGTTTGAAGCGCTCTTCTCCCGGCCATGGAATGAGCGCAGCGGCGGCGGCCGGGCGGGCAGGGGCTCTTCTGCGCAGACCCCGCGCAGCCTGCCTGCGCCCCCCGGAGATCGGGCGGCAGGATGGAGCCCGGGGATCCCCGCGGAGGCGGAGCGGCGGAGGCGGAGGCTGCCCCCCAGGTAGGGCTGCGTCGGGGTTTTTTTTATTTTTGCAATGCTGCATCCGCGCCGGAGGGGACGCATCGGACCGCGGGGAGACCCCTTGGCGGGCGTGCAAGGCAATGCATGCATGCAGGCGTTGCATGGAGTGCAGTGCAATGCAATGGCAACGCGGCGCCCTGCATGCATGCATGCAACTTCCACCGGTGCTCCGGACTTGGCAGGTGAGGGGGGTCCCCAGTGGGCGGCAGAGAGAGCCGGGAGGGCGAAGGGGAGCCGGGGGGGGAGCAGCGCTGCTCCCCGAGCGCGAGCCCGGGGGAAAACTTCCGGCGTCGTTGCGCCGGGGTGTTGGAAGCGGAGGCTGGCGGGGGCCCTCACCTGCAAAACCTGGTCGCCTCTCATATATTTCGTGCATTGCATTCATACGCCCGCTTTCTCCTCCAAGGAGCTCCCGGGGGCGCGCGTGGTTCTCCCCGTGTTATCCTCGCAACAACAGCCCTGCGAGGTGGGTCAGGCGACGTGGCCCAAGGGAGCACCCAGGGAATTGTCCTGGCCAGGTGGGGTGATTTGAACCCTGCTCTCTGCCCGGTCTTCGTCCTCGATGTGCATGACTGAGGTTTTCCCCCCCTCGTCTTGGCTATGGTGTGAGTCTGTGCTGTTATTAATGGGGTTCTGCCTTCGGAGAAGATAAGCCAGCCTCAAGGAGGTGATTATGTAATTTGCTAGCAATTCATGTCCCTCCCGGCGTGATGCTGCGCGCTGACGTCACGGGGCTGTAATGGTGGTGTGCCTCGATATTTTTTTCATGAAAACAAGTGTGCCTTTGCCCAAAAAAGGTTGGGAAACACTGCCCTAAACCCTTCCAACCTGGTTCATATATGCTAATTTTTGCTGGGATGTTAAAGTTGTATAATGCAAGGCAGGATTTAGGTTCACTTTTACCCTCTGTTTTCTGCCTTGGCC